TTGGCATTAAGATACTGAATGCTCTTTGATATTGCTTCATGCTTCTACTCTTTCAATATTTGGTTGTGAGTTGTTCTATGTTTTGATTCTTTCATTTCTTAACTGTATGTTCAGGAGTTTAGATTTATCCCTTCTTTTAGTGGATCAAGGCCCTACTCCACTCCATAGTTATCATATAGTAAATTACCATGGGTAAAAGGTGAAAATCATATGCATTATATCTATTTCCATTATTGAGAAGATCAAGAGGTTATTGCATATAAATGATTTGATGATACCACATGACCACCAATGCAATTTCATTCTGGGTTTATAAATCTTAAAGAAAAGAAGAAATTAGGTTAGCAACTAAAGAATCAATGAAAGAATAAGTGTTTTGAATTATCTCTATATTTATAACCTGATGTATGGTGGTTAATTGTTGAAATGTCAAAATGTACTTTTAGGTTTATAGTGAATTTTAATATTCCCATTTTTATTTAAGCTCAAAACAGCTCCTTTTAACCAAAACATTGTGGCAATAGAAAATAGTAATTATATGGGTTTGGATAAATTTCTAATTCAAAAAACTATTCAATAAATATTTTATTGTATGGCTTGCACTAGAAATTAGAAGTTTTCTCTATGAATAGATTCAAAAAATATAAATTTCTCCAACACTTTAATTCATAAATTTTAAGTTTGTCAAATAATAATGTTTTTGTGACATGACATTTCCTTGTAAATTTATGGTTGACTATGTTGATTTGCATTAATTTGAGCTAAGTTGAGCTCACGAGTTGAGATCAACTCAAGTTTGGACCATCCCCCTATATCATGTTTATGGAGTTGGCCATACATGTGATTGGGATTAAAGATTTTAAATATTGTGTCATCTAAATTTTATTATTATCTACAATTGTTTGAACTCCTCCATGAAAAATGTTTTCCTCAAAACAATATAGATATAATTGTAAATTGGTCATCCTAATACTATTTAAATTTAAAAACATTTAACTTCCACTATCTTAAATCCTCTAATTGATTGGAAAAACAAAATGGGCTTTATATATTTGAATCTCATAAATTATTCTGAATCTATTTCTTTCTTTTATTTATTGTAGCACATGTGATTATAGGATGAGATTTGAATATACTGTCACCATAGTTCTTGGAACTTTAGGGGATAAATGGGTATAAAATAGCCATTAAGAGCTCTCTCATCAAATAATACATTTATAATAATATGACAAAATAAAACTATCTTTATGTATCATATTTATATATGTTATATCTGAAGAACATCATTTTGCATAGTAGCCACATTTACTATACATTTGGTTGATCGGCAAGCAAGAATCCAAAGAATGGACATATATAAAATCGTAGCTACCCCAGTTTTCTATATGGCATATTATAAAATGATTTTTTTTCTTGTATTAATATTTTTTATTGGAAAGCATCTATCAGTAAGAGTTGAAAGAAGTAACTTTAAAATTTTCCCTTTGCATTATAGACATACTATTTTACAAGCACTACTTATAGCAATTGATAATCTTGATATAATGAATCCTCATGCTAAATTATATGCTGGAAAGTCACTTGAATATACATATAATGGAATTCAAGTTTTAATAACTTTTTTATTTAAAGAAAAACCCCCACCTTATTATGATGATCTTTGCCTTGTTTTTCCTGAGCATGCAGTTTATTATTATAGTGGGGCAGTAAAACAAATTCTTGAAAATTTATTATTACAGTATGTTAGTAATGATCTTGAGATAATAAATTATGTTGTCAATGAATATATTACACAAACTATTAGTTTAGTCTTTAAAAATAGTAATGATGAGAAATTTTACTCTTTAATTAATAATATTACATATCATGCTAAAAGTATTAATATCAAACTCTCTAATGATATGGATTGTATATGGAGACATTCATGTATTAGAAGTATTCATGATTCTTCATACTTCTCTAACATACAAAGTGGAGAGTTTTTAGAATCAAGTAATCATCAATTCATATTATTATTGCACTTGAATTGCAACCTTGTGCTTTACAAAGGCAATATTATATTTTGGCAAATAAGTATAGAAGGTATGGGTTGTTATTTAAGAATTCAAACTGATGGCAATGTTGTGATATATGATCAAAATCATGAAGTTAAATGGACATATAATATATATTGGAAAGATAAATTTAAAGCAATGGCTTTATGTGTAGAAAATACTGGCCATGTTGTAGTATATGACACTATTGAAGAAACTTGTATTTTTTATGAACCTAAGAATCTAGCTTAATAATTTTATATATATATATATATATATATATATATATATATATATATATATATATATATATATATATATATATATATATATGTTTATTCAGTTATATAAATAAATATCTATTACTAATTCAGACACACACATAGTTCCCAATACAGTTTTGTCTTTTTGCCTGGTAGTTTGATAGAAAAATCTACAATATATTTATTATGAGATCATTGAATTTGGCACCAGTAATCTCTGCCACTCTGCCACAATCTTTTTGTGCTTGAGTATCTTGAACGTGGGCACAACTCATATGCCGAGCTTTTTGGCAAGCAGCTAGACAAAGAAAAAAACAAAAAAAACAAAAAAAGATAAACAAAGAGTCAAAATTCCATTCCACACATAAAGAAATGAGAAAACTTGCCTTGTTCTCCTGGTTGCAATCCAGCTTGAGAAACATCACGTCCGAGTATCTGGAAGAGAGCTCCACGATCTTTGGAAATATCATTTTGCAAGGGCCACACCTACCGAGCGAAAAAAAGGGTGTTTTTCTATGTCAAGCTTTCAGAAAAAAAAAAGCGAGAAGTTTACCATTGGGTGTACATGTTGAGCACATAAGCTGCTTGGCTGGCAAGTTTTTTTTATCTACATATTATCATTAAGCTCTTGCTAGAACATCTAAATCCATGCAGTTGTTCTTATGTATATAGCAAAGTAGAGGAAATACCTTTCAAACTACAGAACACTTCATTGAACTTTGCCCTAATATCCTAGCCCTGTAAGATGAGATGCTAAGTTAAGCCAAGGGTTGAAAAGCAAAAGTATACACATATTTCTTGGGCTCGAGACTCTTTCTCCCTCCTTGAAGTGCTGATACAAAGCTTAAAAACCTATGTCATAGCAGCTCCTCTCAAGCAGAAAACACGGTGTGGTTACTCATGGATTTAGCCAAATGTGAGGCAATTGGGAAAAGCAAGCACAATAGTAGCACACCCTAGCTCGCTTAAGACTGGACATTATTTTGGCTGGAGCTGGCAATCTTACTGTCGCACTACCAAGCAATAGCCAGTAGTTCAAACATTGATCTTAAGTTTTTATGGAGATTAACAATCACCAGCTTTGTATAGCACTCTCTTCATAGAACTACTATGGAGCATTAATGGATCCCAATGCCTAAATCAAGAGCCCTAACCTTCGCTCCACGCCACAAATGGTAGCTCATTACATGTCAATTGAAATTGAGGGAATGAGCACCAACTATATGCAATAAGATTAATCTTTTTTAATTATAAACATGTTTATAATTATTGATCAAGGATTAATAAATAGCACTAAACACAAGTAATAACACTACTATTAAGCAAGTGTTGCTGCATGCAAACAGCAAATTATTTTTTGTTTGCTTGAGACTGTGTTTGAGAAATTAAATGAAATAATATCCTCAAATATACTTGGATATTCATGAATAATCATGAATATCCAAGTATATTTGAGGATATTATTTCATTTAATTTCTCAAACACAACTTTAACTTTCTTCTATGCTTCCACACCTTAACAAGCTCACAACTTTCCATAGCAAAAGTTTTATATTTTAAGAGTGGATTGTTTTCCATTTTCTCAAAACATCTCTGATATTATCTTTTTTGGTTTTACATACACATGTGACATATCTCATTTGCCTATTAAAAACTCCTCAAACTCTTACACTTTACATTCATAAACCAGTAGAAAGCTTGCCACAAAAACATATTTACCATTGGTGTTGGCTGCTGCTTGGGAATATAGATTTCACCCTCACTCCAAGGCTTATGCATAAGCTTTCTTCTCAGAGCAAGATCAACCACGAAATTTTGGTATTTTCTCTCATTCCAGTGAAAGCTCCCAAATTGATTTATGTTATGCTATTGATTCTCTTCTAGCATACTATTTCTCATGTGCAACACTTGGTCAATACAATTGTAGTATTTATTACTTTGATGATAGATTTTGCCTTTGGGCTAAGTGTAATTTTAATTAAGTGATACTTAATTTTTATAATAAACTTAAAGCAAACCAAGCATTGGTTTGCTAGTATATCAAGTACAATCAATTTAACAATTTTCTTGAACTGCCACAGCAGGATTTAGATTACAGATATGGAAGGACTCGATCCAAAACGGTCTCCGGCAGGTAGCCAAGAACAACATCATCTTAAAACTCTAGGAATCTCTGAGCATAAGTTCTCTAGGCCAGGAAATCCCGGACTCGTGATGCCGCCATTCTCACCTTACACCACCAGCACACAGCTTTACTCTCGCAAAGTATGAGAACTAAGCTTTGCAAAGGAAGAAGAGAAGTTGTGCCGTGGAGGACGTCCCAGAGGCTTCTATTGTCCATGAAGATGTAGAAGAGGAGGTTCCCAGCCGAGGATCGTGAGTATCCATACAAGCTCACCAAGTTTCAGTGCTTGATGTGGCCTAGAGTCGCGAGCTCCGTCTCAAATTCGCGGACGTTCTGTAGATAGTGATTGCCGCTTGATCGCAGCTTTCTTGCCATTCTTGCATTTGTAGACGGAGCTAGAGGCACTGCGGCTGACGAGAAACCTTTCGTGGAGGTTGTCTGTGATGTGCATGATATAATCGTAAGTGTGGCAAGACATGTCACACCAAAGGTGGAGTGGTTGACAAAAACGATTACTGTTCTGGACGTACGCTCACCATTGTTGTTCTGGTATCAAAAAATTAAATCAGTAACCATTGTTTTCTTTAAATGTTATCCTTAGGTATTAACGTGAACACAGGATAAAATATACACTCGTAAAGGGAGATGGGAATCACAATCCGTGAAGAGATTATGCTTCCACTTCTATCACACATCTCAGAGACTCTCCTTTCTGCAGAAGCGAGAACGCTTCATTGATCCTGGAGAACGGACGCGTGTGAGTGATCATCTCGTCGTACTCTAGCTCCTGGCTCACGAAAAAGAAATCGCGCGTAAGTCCTCGTTATCGATCGAGTTGTATTTACCTTGCTCATGTATTTGTCTACCAAATCAGGCAGATCGGACTTGCATTTAAATCCGCCAAACACTGATGCGGTCCATATCCTCCCGCTGAAGAATTCGAGCGGATTGATTTCGAGCATCTTGTTGGAGCCGTCCACTCCAACAATCACAGACTTTCCCCATCCCTGGTCACAAAATTGTTAAATTGCATTGAGAGAGCCATTAAAAATAAGAGTTACTTACGGGTTGGCAGCTTTCATAGGCGGATCTCATGACACTAGTGTTCCCAACACATTCAAAGCTATAATCCACGCCTCCTCCCGTCATTTCTTGGATCACCTGATATCAAGAGATAAAACAATCTTACCAGTGTCTATTTTTTTTTGTTTTCGGATGGGACTTACACACTGAATAGCCTTGTCGTGCTCCTTTGGATTCAGAAAATCTGTTGCTCCAAACACCTTTGCTGAAACAGACGGAAAAAAAACAGAGAAAAATTCAGCGGACAGGCTTTGGTGGTGACGTGTAGCTATACCTTTGGCGAATTTCGCAGGATTGAGATCCACGGCTATGATTCTGGATGCTCCAGCAATCTTTGCGCCTGCTACTACCTGGGCCAGATTTTAAAACAAGGAAAATGGTCAGGTCCCCACGTTGATTTCAGCGAAAACTTACAGCGAGCCCAACAGCGCCCAGCCCAAACACGGCCACGCTAGCACCCGCCTCAACTTTGGCGGTTTTCCAAACAGCGCCGATTCCTAGGTGGAAGATAACGAATGATCAGTCCTCCAGAAGCTGACAGACAACTAAATCCAAAGAACGAGACATCCAAAGGAAGAAAATGCAGAGACGCAACAAAGCTCCTTACCGGTAGCGATTCCACAGCCGAGAAGGCAAATCTTGTCCAGGGGCGCGGTTGGATCCACCTTGACAACCTGCGCTTGATCCACGACCGTGTACTCGCTAAACGTAGAGGTCCCCATGAAGTGGAAGATGGGCTTTCCCTGGATGGAAAACCGAGTCCTACCATCGCTCTTCATGGTGCCGCGAAGAGCATCCACGGCATAGTTCGCGCAGATGTTGGTCCGGGGCGACTTGCAGTACTTGCAGTTCCCGCATTCGCCAGTGAACACCGGAATGACGTGATCGCCGGGCTTGAGATCCAGCACGCCCTCGCCAACGCTCTCCACGATCCTGGAAAGCAAAGGCATTAGGTTTTAGCGCATACAATGCTTTTACCCTGCTGCTTCGTGGCCAAAGATTCGTGGGAAAACCTCCACCTGTGGGAAAGAGAGAGGAATCGCGTTAAGTCTCCTCCATGGAGTGATCGAGAGATTCTTACCGGCGCTTCCCAGAATGTGACATCCGAGTGGCAGAGCGAGGTGTGCGTGATCTTGATCCGGACCTCCTGCGCCTGCGGCGGCTCCACTTGGATCTCCTCGATCACCAGCGGCGCCTTCGGTCCCCACGCGACGGCGGCTGTGGCAGGCATTCGGCGCGAAAGATTTGAGAGAATGAGCGAGAAATCCTGGGAGAATCTCGGAAGAAATGGAGATATTTCGAGAATCTTGGAAGAAATGGGAAAATATTTCGAAAATATTTCGAGAGAGGGAAGAACAGAGAGAGCGATCGATCGAGGAGTGCATGCGTACCTTTGCAAGTGATCGTCTGGCCGGTTGTAGGCGTCACGAGACACATCTTGATCGACGCGGCAGGCAGCGGCAGCGGCAGCGGAGGCTTGCAAATGGACCAAAATCTCTCGACGAAAGAACGATCGATCGAAGCGGCAGCTAGAAGACGACGCGATCGCGATGACTCGATCAGAGCAGCGCGGCAGCGGTGGGTGAGCGATCCCTGGAACGAATTCCCTGCGCAACCACTAGGGATTGAATGCGCGCCTTCTCTCTTTGCTCGCGGTCGGTACAATCAAAGAAGAAGAACCACACACACACAAGAAGCCAAACCTAGTTTAGAAGATAACAATCACTCTCTCCCTCTCTCTTTATCTCCTCTCCACCGCGCGAACAAACAAAGCTCTTTAAATCCTCTCTCTTTCTCTCCTCCTTTTCTCCTATCTATCTACCTATGTACCGTTATACCTCTCGTTTTTTCTAAAATAGACCCGACCACCATAGCCAAGCACGGCAACGAACTTAGCAAGCTCTCTCTGACGAGTCAAGCGCTTCCACATGCAACGTATTTAAAACTCCCACGAAAGCACGGCAAAGTCCACGAAGAAAAAATCCATACAAAGCACGAGCTTTGAGATATATAATAGGGTGGAATTTAAAGTATTGCCAGTTTTCAATCAGGCACATTTGCTCGCGTCGTCTCCTAATAAACACGCGTATCCGTCGTAAGAGACCAAAGCGATCAAATTTTGGTGCTAAGAAATCGCTTGCCTGGATCAAATCCCCGATCCCGATAAGAGCATCGTATTAACTTCATATAATGTGCGTGTGTCCAGCCTCCATCCGACACGCAAAACTTCACGCCAGAGGATATTAAAAATCTCGCCTTTGGAAGATTCCAGGTGCGTTTCCTGTGCGTGTGTTTGTCAAACACATTCGCATGAGCTACCAGAAAAGGAGGAAGAAAAAGCTCACCCTTGGAAGACTAGAGTGTGGTGGCGGTGGCGCTGGTATTGGTGGAATCCACGCAAATAACGCATCGCAGGCTCTTTCCCTCGAGCATCAGCTCGAATGCCTCGTTGATTCGTGCGAGCGGGAGGCGGTGAGTGATAAACTTGTCCAGGAAATCCACCTCCTGCGAAGGAATACGCGGAAACGCACGAAAAGTTCTCGCAGAGCGAAGTACAAATCGCTTGCCTTTGTCACGAATCTCTCCACGAGAGCTGGAAGCTGCGTTACTCCCTTGAAGCCTCCAAACATGCTGCCTTTGAGAACGCGTCCCGCGAGAAAGTTTCTCGAGTGGATTGCGATCTCCTGAGGGCCGGGGATCACTCCTCCGATCACGCAAACACCACCGCCCTGGATCATAAGAGACGAGAAAAGCTTAGAAGTTCTCGAGATGACAATGAGTTTAAACGTACGTCGTGGCAGCTTTCAATGGCGGAGCGAATCACGTCCACGTTTCCCACGCATTCAAAGCTATAATCCGTGCCACCGCCAGTCATTCCTTGCACGACCTGAGAAACGACGCTCGAACCACAGCCTGACACAAAGAAAGATTTGCGGAACTTTTTTAAGAAATCTACCTGTTGCAAAGGCATGGCATGGTCTGCAGGATGTAAGGTTTCAGTGACACCAAACATACGAGCTGCAAAATAATGTAAAGGCGATGGAGCTCCATTCAATCACGAGACGTAGGCAGCTTGAACACTCACCCAACTCGAGTTTCTGACGATTGATATCAATGCCAATGACGCGCGAAGCTCCTGCCATCCGTGCTCCCTCGGCAACCTTTAAAGAAAGTTGGCAGCTTGATCGAAAAATACGAAAGCAAACAAACTTAGAAACAGCACTCACAGCCATTCCAAGAGTGCCGAGTCCAAAAATCGCAACAGTCGATCCGGGCTCCACGTTTGCAACGTTCCAAACGGATCCCAGTCCTGCAGTTCGAAGTTATCCAAAAAAAAAAAAAAAAAAAACAAGGAAGAAAAAACAGAAGACGGTAAAAAAAAGCTTCTAGAAGACTTGCCTGCAGTGACACCACAGCTGAGAAGGCAAATTCTGTCCAGAGGAGCGGCGGGGTTCACTTTGACAACGCAACCGTGATGCAGTACCGTGTACTCGCTGAAAGTGGAAGTTCCAATAAAGTGGAAGATCGGCTCGCCATCCTTTGAGAAGAATCTGGTTTTCCCATCTTCCAGCATTCCACCGCGGAATGGATTGATCCCCAGAACCGAGCAAACGTTTGCCTTGTCCGACTTGCACTTTTGGCAGCTCTTACACTCTCCAGTGAATAACGTCAGGACGTGATCGCCGGGAGCGAGATCGGGAACGTTGTCACCGACACTCTCCACAATCCTGTAAGAAAAGTAGATCGCGTAAGTTTACATTCGAGGCAGATAAATCACGCCAGAGATTTGAGCAAAAGTTTCTCACGCTAAAACAAGCTAAAGATCTCCCAAATTATGGGAAAGTTCCTCGAAGATGAGTCTAGCAAAACACTTAACAAACAAGGCTTTCGTGAATGAATCCGATGCATGGAAATCCCCACGAAAGAAGAAAAGCAAGATTCTTACCCGGCTGCTTCGTGGCCGAGGATGCGAGGAAACAATGCTCTAATCCCCTGGAAGAACACCATCGATCCATCAAAGAACTATGGAAAAAATGAGAGAAACCAAACGAAAGAGAAATCACCACCTCGAACTCCCAGTAGTGAACATCAGAGTGACACAAGGCCGTGAACAAGATCTTGACGCGAACCTCACCACAATGTGGTGGATCCACTCGAATCTCCTCGATCAAAAGCGGCTCCTTCGCCTTCCGCATCACAGCCGCTACAAGAACAAGCCCAGGAAATCTCTCGGAGCTCCAAGAACAGGAAAAAGAATTACCTTTGCAAGTGATGATCTTCCCAGCGGTGCTAGAGCATTCTCCTCCTCCGCTCGCCATCGCCATTGCGCGTCAAAAGCTCTCGAGCTGACTAGTAGCTCAAGAAAAACCCTTTTAAGTTTTGTCAATCGCGGTTTTTGCCATGGTATCCGGATGATCAAATCTACTGGATCTGGATCCGGGAGCTTTGCCACTGCTTCTGCCCGATCAGACAAGGAGCTCATCTTCGCCAGCAACAATGAGATCGCGAGGCTCGCGCGCGCTGGCGAGCTCGCTCAGTGCAAAAGGGCCTTCGATGCAATGCCACAGCGCGACATCGTCTCCTGGAACGCGATCCTGGCGGTCTACGTCCGGCGAGGGGATTTGAAGCGCTCAGAAGAGATTTTCAATCGGATGCCCGAATGGGATGTTCTCACCTGGAACACGATGCTCGCAGCATTTGCCCACAGCGGGCAATTGCTGCGAGCCAAAGAACTGTTCGATCGAATGCCAGAAAAAACCATCGCAACCTGGAACACTATGGTCTCTGCGCACTCACATGCCGGGAATTTTTCTTCCGCGATGGAGCTCTTCCACGGAATGCCGGAGAGAAACACTGTTTCTTGGACGAGCATACTAACCCTATATGCCCATAATGGGCATTTGCTTTTGGCAAAGAAGGTGTTTACCCTAATGCCAGAAAAATCACTAGTGTCCTGGACGGCTATGGTGTCTACTTTCGTTTCAAACGCGTGTATTGAGCAAGCAAAGAGAACGTTTGATTTGATGCCACGGTGGAATGTAATCTCTTGGAACACTCTTCTCGCGGGATTTGCCCAAGAAGGGCAAATTGATCAAGCAAAGCGGCTCTTTGACCTAATGCCGGAGCACGATCTCGTGTCCTACACCAGCTTGATTGGCGCGTACAGCCAAATCGGCGATCTGCCAAGAGCGAAGCTATGGTTTGATCGAATGCCACAGAGGGATCTTGTGGCGATGAATGCGCTGCTCGCGCTCTACTCCCAGCTCGGCCGCCTGGGCGAGGCGCAGCGATTCTTCCACGCGATGCCGGAGCGCGACATCTCTTCTTGGAATTCGATCTTGCTCGTCTACTCCCAGGCCGGCGCCATCGATCAGGCGGAGGCGCTGTATCGATCGATGCCCGCTCGAAATATCGCGACGTCCTTGTTGATGATCGCGGCCTATGCGCAAGTCGGGAGGCTGGATCGAGCGGAGGAGACCTTCGATCGAATGCCGATGCGCGACGCCCAGGCTTGGAACTCCATGCTGGCGGCGTTTGTCCACAGCGGCGATCTGGACAGGGCCAAGGCGATTTTCGAGGCAATGCCAGAGAAATCCACCTCCGCCTACACGACGATGATCTCGGCCCTTGCCGCAAGCAAGCAGCTAGAACAGGCCACGGCGATCTTCGACGAAATCCCCGCCCGGGACACCATCGCCTGGAATTCGATTCTCTCGGCCTACGCCTGGAACGGCCACATCGATCACGCCAAGCGCTGCTTCGACCGGATCCCAGCACAGGACACCGCCTCCTGGAACGCGATGATCACGGCCTGCGGCCATTCCTCGCGCGGCGACGAGGCCATCGCGAATTTCCATCACATGGAGCTCCACGGCGTGATCCCGGACGAGACGACGATGATGAACGTCCTGGCGGCTTGCAATCACGTCGGCCTGGTGGAGAAGGCGCTCTCCCTGTTCGTCCTCATGAGGGACGAGCATGGAATCCGTCCAGGGCGCGAGCAATTCGCGTCGATGATCGACATCCTCGCGCGATCCGGCCAAGAAGAGCCAGCTCGCGAGATTTCCAAGCGCACGCCACCATTCGCGCCCGAGGTCACAGAGAGGAGCGCCCTCTTGAAAGCTCTGGCGACGCCATAGCCAGGAAGAACAGGTATATTCCAGATTCGGGAATCTTGATTTTGGGCCCTTACATGTAACCCTAGTTATTTTATTGGTGGAGGCAGGACAACGCAACACCGCATTGGTTCTTCGCGGAGGTGGAGGAGGCACAGCGCAAAACCCCCAGAGCTCTTCCAGGTAAGTCCTTCGATCTCAATGCGCCATGCAAGAGCATTGAATTCCTGGCAGAGATTTTAATTCGTGGGCCTTACTCTTTCTCTCCTGTGGGTTTTAGATGGGAATCCAGCGAACAGGTGTCAAGGTCAGTAACCAGCTGAGGGATTCATCGCTCTTCCGGCCATCTCAGTCGGAAGTGGACCTCTACCAGCACGACATGGAAGATTTCTTGCTCGATTCTGCCGCGGAGCCAGCTGCGCCGCATCAGAACAAGCTCCTCTTGTAGGTACCCTCGTACATTTCTATCTAGCGATTTTTTTTCCATCTCATCTCTTTTTTGCTTTCCAGATGCGATCTTCTAGACATCTCTGGTGTTTTGAGTGAGGCTGCTAGCGCGATCGTCGATGTATGCCAGCTCTTGTGATTTTTTCGTCACTCATCACGCACATTCGTATGGTTTTCTCAGGATTCTTTCACCAGGTGCTTCAAGTCCAACATTCCAGAGCCGTGGAATTGGAATATATACCTATTGCCCTTGTGGTGCCTTGGCGTGATCGTGAGATACTGCATTCTCTTTCCAGTCAGGTATGCGCCTATCTGTGAGAGACGATCCTGCTCAAAGTTATTGCAATGTATAGGGTGTTGCTACTTACGGTGGGCTGGATCATCTTCCTGGGTGCTTTTATCCCGGTTCACTTCATCCTGAGGAAGCACGACCATATGAGAAGGAAGATCGAGGTATAGCATTCATTCGTTTTTTCCACAGAACAGGACATAAGACAAAGATTTTCTTTTCTTTGAAAACGCAGCGAGGGCTGGTAGAATTCATTTGCAGTGTCTTTGTGGCTTCCTGGACAGGGGTTGTCAAGTATCATGGACCACGGCCAAGCAGGCGTCCTAGACAGGTCTGTGACAGTTCCTCTGGCAACTGAGTTCGTTAACTTTCTTTCAGAGCAGGTCTTTGTGGCAAACCACACTTCGATGATCGACTTTATCATCCTTGAGCAGATGACCGCCTTCGCTGTGATTATGCAAAAGCATCCGGGATGGGTTGGTGAGCTTATCATCTTTTCTGTTCTTTTCCATTTTTTTCCAAAACATCCGTGGTTGATGCTCAATCTTTCTGCGTGACTGCGTTTTCCAGGTTTACTACAAAACACTGTTCTTGAAAGTCTTGGCTGCATCTGGTTTAATCGAACCGAGTCTAAGGACCGCCATGTTGTCGGGGAAAAGTAAGTGAAAGTCCGACGAAAGATTGTATCAGCTGGTAAATCCATCTTGCTCGTCACCAGGCTTCGAAAGCACGTCATTGATCCGGAAAGCAATCTTCTACTTATTTTCCCAGAGGGGACTTGCGTAAACAACGAGTATATTGTGATGTTTAAGAAGGTTCGTGGTCTCATGGTTCGCTCCAAGTGGTTCTTATTTCCTGTGCTCGACTTACAGGGAGCGTTTGAACTGGATTGCACAGTGTGCCCGGTTGCTATCAAGTATAACAAGATCTTTGTCGACGCTTTCTGGAACAGTCGCAAGTAAGTGAGTCTTCTCATCTCGATTGACTTTAAGGTTTTTCTTTTTCCGACAGACAATCGTTTACAATGCACTTGCTGAGGCTGATGACGTCCTGGGCGGTCGTCTGCGATGTCTGGTATTTAGAACCACAAACAATCCGGCCCAACGAGACACCAATAGAGTTCGCGGAGAGGTATGTAAAAAGTAACTCTTCTTTGATCCTTATATTTCCTTTCAGAGTTCGCGATATGATAGCGAAACGAGCTGGAATTAAGAAAGTCGCTTGGGATGGATATCTGAAATACTACCGTCCAAGCTCGAAACTCACGGAGAAAATGTAAGCTTGTTCTCTTCTAGTTTTCCTGTGGAAAAGCTGTAGCTTACGCGTTTCCTTCGCAGGCAACAGAAGTTCGCTGAGAGCATGCTAAGAAGATTAAGAACGAAGACAAGTGACGAGGATCTCAGCACTTCTATGGAATGATAGTACGGTACTCTTTTCTTAAGAAAAATTTCTCGTTCGTAGTAATGGCCTGCCTTGGGACATTGACAGGAGAAATGTTTTCAAATGGAGGGGATGCTATTGATAAAACTCCACTAGTTTACATGTTCAAGCTTTTAAGAGACTCGATGTGCGAGCGGTGCCAGAGGATCAAGGATCGCATCCCAGCAACGAGGCCCGGAAGAACATGGTCGAGAAGCTAGGCCGCCGCCCTTCCTGACGCAGCCTCATCAGGTAAAACGTCGGGCAAGTGCCTCGCATCACAATCCCAGGCAAAAGGAGCTCCTCGGGAGGAGATTCACAGAGAAAGTTCTCATACTTGTCCAGGAGCTCTTGCAGCAATCCCCGAGGCGATCATCTCCGCCTCTGGATCGCGATCCCTGTCCTTGAAGCTCCAATGCGCAACGAGGCGAATGAAACCATCCATCTCCATCTCGACTGCGACACCGAGGAACAGTGCTGCCAGACGCCGTGTGACGATGCGCATGCCAAGAACATCGAGGCAGAAGAGCTCCAGGAGTGGGTAGTCTTGGACAAGTTCTCGACGTCGGACACTTCCTCTAGCCTATGAGTTTTGGTGACGCAGGCGATGGACTTGACGAGGATCTCCACGGCCCTGGAGCTGCATGCTATCCTGCTCGGCCGGCTACATCAGGTCCAGACCTAAAAATTCGAGCATGAGTAGTGAGGGTGAGAGAGAAGCAGTATACTACATCATGGGCAGAAAGAATGAGGTGAAGTCTTTCCAGGATTTTCTTGGAGAGATGTGTTTAAGAAGTTGAATTTAACTGTGTATGTGACTTCTACCAGGCAGGTTTCTTTCCAACCTCATGCAGTGAACTCTAGTGAAAGACATAGTCTCAGCCACAAAAGGGCACAAGCGACAGGAATTATGCGTTGACGATTTGAGAAAGACGCTCATCAGAGAAGCAGCAGCAGCAAATCGGTCACAAGCTTGTGGAACTGGAGTCATCATTTGAGTTGCATTGGCCAGGTCAGTCGAAACATAGGATTATTCTCAAGAATATCATTTCTTCTTGCCGTGACCCATGATTGTAATGTTGAAGAATCTGCCGCACCTTTGCAGGAGTTAGAGAGTTCTTATCCTCCATTTAGACTTGCTCTATCAACATTGCTTTTGCCAAGTTGTTGTTCTGCTGGCCAAAATCTGTTTGTGTCGAAATCTTCTTTAGGTTTTGCCAGACTTTAATTTTGAGAGGATTGTGAGAAGCATCAAGCAGAAGTTAGGTGTGTTATACAACGGCCATTTTGATCCCTTGATCTGATTGTTTTGCCTGGAAATTTACTACATTCTAAGAAGCTCATCAAAGTGTCCACTATGGCAGCATGGAAGTTTGCTATCTCAAACTTCTTGTGGTGTGCCCAATTTACATGTTTGCTCCTCTCTTGCAACAAACCCATGGCTGCTGTTGGAGCCGAGAAAGCTCCCTGGATTTCCCCACCCCTGTGAAGAGTTGTGAAAAGTTATCAAAAAAAAAAAAAAAAAGAACAAATGCTTCATGAACCCTTAACTTTGGCTTTCGCTAGTCTTAGTTTATGACTTAGGAAAATAATAAATAATTATTTCTATAGCTGAATAAAAACACACACACACACACACACACACACAATTATAATTAAGCTAGATTCTTAGGTTCATAGAAAATACAAGTTTCTTCAATAGTGTCATATACTACAATATGACCAGTATTTTCTACACATAAAGCCATTGCTTTAAATTTATCTTTCCAATATATATTATATGTCCATTTAATTTCATGATTTTTATCATATATCACAACATTGCCATCAGTTTGAATTCTTAAATAACAACCAATACCTTCTATAATTATTTGCCAAAATATAATCTTACCTTTGTAAAGTACAAGGTTGCAATTTAGGTGTAATAATAGTATAAATTGATGATTACTTGATTCTAAAAACTCTCCACTTTGTATATTAGAGAAGTATGAAGAATCATGGATACTTCTAATACACGAATGTCTCCATGTACAGTCCATATCATCAGATAGTTTTTGATTAATAATTTTAGTATGATATATAATATTATTACTAAAAGAGTAAATTTGCTCATCATTGTTATTTTTAAAGGCTAAACTAATAGTTTCCATAATATATTCATTGACAACATAATTTATTATCTCAAGATCATTACTGACATACTGTAATAATAAATTTTCAAGAATTTGTTTTACTGTCCCACTATAATAATAAACTGCATGCTCAGGAAAAACAAGGCAAAGATCATCATAATAAGGTGGGGGTTTTTCTTTAAATAAAAAAGTTATTAAAACTTGAATTCCATTATATGTATATTCAAGTGACTTTCCAGCATATAATTTAGCATGAGGATTCATTATATCAAGATTATCAATTGCTATAAGTAGTGCTTCTAAAATAGTATGTCTATAATGCAAAGGGAAAATTTTAAAGTTACTTCTTTCAACTCTTACTGATAGATGCTTTCCAATAAAAAATATTAATACAAGAAAAAAAATCATTTTATAATATGCCATATAGAATACTGAGGTAGTTGCGGCTTTATATATGTCCATTCTTTGGATTCTTTCTTGTCGATCAACCAAATGCATAACAAATATGGTTACTATTTAAAATGATGTTCTTTACATATGGCATTTGTAAATGTGGTACAAAGATAGTAAATAACTAAAGTGAACAGCTTAAGAATAGTTTATAGGGTTTAAAAATATAGAGCCAATAATTCACCCTCTTAAATAGTGGAAATTAACTGTCCTTGGTTATACTATTCAAACTTTAGTTGAGAAATTAGTCTTTGCATGTTCACTTGGCCAAATGAGTATGAAGATAAAATTTTTAAGTGCAATTAATCAATATTGTAGGGGTTCCCAACATTAGCAAATGCAATCTAATGAATAAGTTTTTTTAACCAAATCAAGTATACTTAACTAATATAAATTCCCTTCAACTTAGAATAGACAATGTACTCATTGTTGAAGAGTTCCCAAAAATTCATCTAGAAGTTAAGGATACTTAGCCACAAAAGAGGATGACTCCCACGTTACATCCTCCATAGGCATATCTTTCCATTGCACTAGATACTCAACAAGTGTAGTGCATCATGTAACAACTTTTTGACATGCATCAGGAATCTTAAAAGGTTCAATTGTGACCTTGTAACCATCCATGAAACTAGGTGGTGGTACATCATTGGGTTCAATGTGTGTGGCATGATTATCCCCAAACAGTTTAAGCAATGATACATGGAAGATAGGATGAATCTTCTTCCATGTGTCAAAGAGCTTCAACTCATGATCATGAGAATTTTATAAGACTTCAAAGGGACCAAAATAGCATGGCCACAACTTAGGATACTTATGATCAGTAGATGCATAATGATGCAAAGCTATATACACCAACACTTTATCACCAACATCAAACTCAAGATAGCAGCGACATCGGTCAACATATTTCTTTTATTGTTCTTGAGCATGATCAACTTATCCCTCACAGTCGTAAGGATACCAGTCATTTCATCAACCACCTCATTGATAGTCTCCAAGCGAGACTTAGCCAACCAATTGGCTGGACTTCGAGGAATAAAGCCATAAGCAGCATAAAAAGGAGCTATGCCAATTGAAGCATAGATGGAACTGTTATAAGAAAATTCCATCAAAGGCAGATAGTCCTCCCATGCACTATGGCTTTTATCTGTATAGCTTCGTAACATATCCTCCATAGTACGATTCGTTCGTTCAGTTTGGCCATCACTTTCTGGATGAGAGGAGGAACTGAACTTCAATTTCATTCCTAAAATCTCAAATGATGATAGGAGGAACTGAACTTTAATTTCATTCTTAAAATCTCAAATAGACTAGTCCAAAAATGGCTAGTAAATCGATCAGATACAATTGAACGAGGGAGACCATGATACTTGAACACATCCTTGATGAATGCCACTTGACTGCCACTGATAGCCTTCTTGCAGGGAAAGAAATGAGCAAGTTTGGTCAAGACCAAAACTGCATCATTCTTTCGCTGAGTACATGGTAACTCGGTGTTAAAATCCATCAAAATGGATTCCCATCGTCCTTGTGGAATTCCTAGAGGATGTAACAATCCAGCAGGGCGCTGTGTATCAAGCTTCGTGCGTTGACACTTCAAGCATCCTTGTACATGCATTGTACATCACTCCAGGGCCAAAAATATAATGCTGCCACTCGCTCATAAGTCTTAATATGGTGCATCATGAGCTTCCTGCAAGATTAGAGTGCACGTCTCCTTGCAATAAGGTACACACATTCGGTCATGAAAATATAAATCATCATGGAGAGAATAGTTTTGACAAAGCGAAATCTCAACAGGAGTTCTTTTATCCTTCTTCAAGCTTTCATAAATCACCTTAAAATTCCTGTCTGAGCATACTTCACTGGAAAGGAAGCTGGAAAATTCGTGATAACCACTGAAATGGGATTCACGCCCTCTCCAAATCAACAAAGTTTAAGCTGGATGATCAATCCGAAGTTTTTAAGTTGAATTATCTTGTATGGAGAACAAAGTAAGAAACACCACCACATCTCACACCGGGTCACTTAGAAATTCTTCATCCATCACTTCTGTACTTTCAGCAAGGGATCGCTCAGGACAGCATAACTTTCAAGCACTCTCTTTGGGAGAGTAGTAGTGGCAGTAGTACCTAGAACAATACTAACATGATTGAGTAAAGGGTCTAAACAAGTATAAGGTGAAACTCTCAAACAAAACTCCCTCAAGTACAAAAAGCCCTGCCTCCTAAAACTAGAGCCACCCGTTACTAGGGAAGCAAGACTCATCCTAGAGTACTCTTCCACTGGATCATAAAGGCTCGAAACTGTGTTTTAGCTGACACAGGTAGGAAATAGTTTTCAACCAAATAAATTCCCCAAAACCAAAACCCTAGCCAAGCCTTTCACTGGATCGAGCAAAAGATCTCTGTAATCAAATGATCTTGTGTCATGCAAATGCAATGCAATGCATTTGCCGAGCACAGGCAGGGAGAAATCTGATCTCCTGGTTGACGCTGCTATGCTGCCTGGCGCGATCCCAGAGCACTGCCGATGCCAAGCGCATCTTTGATTCCATACCGGAGCACTGCCTCGTCTTGATGCTGTAGCGCTCTGAAGAAACAGAGAATACTCCCTCTGGGATGCCTCTCAGGAAACGGCTAAGAAAAACTAAGAACCTTAAACTGGAGGGCCTGTACACCACGTGGCTCCAACACCGTGAATGGATTGGAATTCGGCCTCGCGGGGATGCTCCCCCCGGCGCTGTTCAAGGCATCGGTGCTCGAGACCAGGACTGTGACTAATCTGACTCGCGCGGCTCACTGGATCACAGAAATCCGGCACTGCCGTTCAGATGGAGGAGATCAAGAGCCATGAGCAGTGAGAGAGATGGTGAATTTAAGCAGTGTAGATAGATGATAGATCAATGCCAGTTTTTGTTTGATCTATCTTGCAAAGCACAAGAACAATCTGACGCCTTGCCGCTGCGGCGCATGGCGCTACGATATTTAGTAAGGATTCTGCAAGGCGCCAATACTTGGCCGGATGGAGGGAAATCTCTAGAGGCTGCGTCTTTCAACTACTCTCGGCTGCTCCGGCGATGCGGCAACGATAAGGCTCTGATGGAAGGCAGGAAACTCCACGCACACCCGGCAGCTCGGCCGTGACATGTATCTCAAGTGCAGGAACTTGATAGAGCTTTGTTCTTCCGACGACGTTGCTCCGTGGACACAACTGGTGGCGGCGGCCAATCCTTACGAACTTCC